GTGTGTGTGTGTGTGTGTGTGTGTGTGTGTGTGGTCGTGTGTGTGTGTGTGTGTGGTCGTGTGTGTGTGTGTGTGTGTGTGTGTGTGTGTGTGTGTGCCAGTTCTGGGGCCCTGGGCACTGTCTCAGAGCTTCTTTTGTTCAAGGTTAGCATTCTACCACTTGAGCCACAGCACCACTTTGGGCTTTTTCTGATTCTGTGGTACTGAGGAATCCAACCCAGGGCTTCATGCATGCTAGGCAAGCACTGTACCACTAAGCCACATTCCCACCCCTGAGATAGGTTCTTAATAGTACTTTGTGTGTGGTAGGCTTGAAATATGATCCACACAATCTCTGCAGTTGGGATTTCAGGCATAAGCCACTATACCCAGCTGAACAGTAATGTTTTTAGTAATCTCATATCTAGTTTACTTTCTGTTTTTATTATTTTTACTATTATCTTTCTCTCTTTTAAAAATATTTTTTTTTTTGGTTGGTAGTGGGGCTTGAACTCAAGATGTAGGTGCTGTCTCTGAGATCTTGCTGAATGCTTATGCTCTACCACTTTAAGCCACAGTGTCACTTTTGGTTTTCTGGTGGTTAACTGGAGATAAGAGTCTCACAGATTTTCTTGCCCTAGCTGGCTTTGACTCTAGATCCTCATATCTCAATCTCCTGAGTAGCTAGGATTATAGGTGAGATCCATCAGTATCCCCCTCCCCCAGCTTGTTTTTCTTTTTCTAAGTATATAGTATCTATAAGAATTTAAAGCATTTCTTTATTTCTGATTATTTTCTGCCTTTCTTGATTGACTTTCAATACTGTCAGTCAACTTTCTATTATTGTAACAAACTTTCTAGGGTAGTAACTTCAGAAGTAGAAAGATTTTTTTTTTTCCCCTAAAAGGAGGATCCTCTGTCTCCAGAATAGCTGGCATAACATTTGTGAGCCATCAGTGTCTAGTGGGAGAGTGTTCTTTATATTTCTGTGCCATCTAAATAAATAAGACTGTTCTATATTAAACTTTATTGTTTATATCAACTAATTTTATTTTTCTTCCAGTGCCTATGTTGAAAAATATCTGTTGGAGAAGTCCAGACTTGTTTATCAAGAGCATAATGAACGGTACTTATTTTTATTTGTCTAAAAAATAAAGTTAACCTGAGTTTCTTGCAGATTGACTGTGACCCTTAATTCACTTTTTCATCCTGCAGTTTTTCAGAGCTGTTAAGAAGTTCTTTTTTATTGGGTAGTAAAACTGGCTTTTCTAAGTTCTAAGCAAACTATGAGATCAAGAACACCATTTCTGGGGCTGGGAAGGTGACTCAGTGGTAGAGCACTTGCCTTGCATGCATGAGGCCCTGGGTTCAATTCCTCAGCACCACATAAGCTGAAAAAGCCGGAAGTGGCACTGTGGCTCAAATGGTAGAGCACTAGCCTTGAGCTGAAGAGCTGAGGGACAGCCCCTAGGCCCAGAGTTCAGGCCCAGGACCAGGAAAAAAAAAGAAAAAGAACACCATTTCTAGCCAGGCACCTGGTGGTTCACACCTGTAATCCTATCTACTCAGGCAGCTGAGATCTTAGGGTGTGGTTTGAAGCTAGCCTGGGCAGAAAAGTCCCTATGAGACTCTTATCTCCAATTAACCACTCAAAAACTGAAGTGGCACTGTGGCTCAAGTGGTAGAGTGCTACCCTTAATCACAAAGAGGCTCAAGGACAGTGCTCAGGCCCTGAGTTCAATCCCTACAACTGACAACAACAACAACAAAAAAAAAACCCCACCATTTCTCAAGCGCTATCTTACTATTTGTGAACAATGTTTTCTTGGGCCTTTATAGTATTTGTGGTATTCATTGCTTGAGAGATAATAAATGAAGAAACCTGATATCAAGGGGTAAATTATTTGCTTGCTTCATCAGTGAAATATAAAGTAGAGCCAAAGTTGAAGTCAAGCAGACCTACATGTAAATCTTGAATATTTCTTGGGGTCGCACTCATCTATCTGTTTCTTAGGTATTTCCTTCAGTCTTTTTTTTTTGGGGGGGGTGGTCCGGTCGTGAGGCCTGAACTCTGGGCCTGGGCGCTGTCCCTTAGCTCTTCAGCTCAAGACTAGCACTGTACCACTTGAGCCACAGCACCACTTCTGGCTTTTTTCTTTCTGCTTATGTAGTGCTGAGGAATTGAACCTAGGGCCTCAGGCATGCAAGGCAAGCACTCTACAACTGAGCCACCTTCCCAGCCCCCCTTCAATCTTATAAATAGAAAAATACCCTAGAGTTCTTTAGACGATAACATGAAATTAACATTTATAAGATGATATTCGTGATTTTCATATAATAAAAATCTTAGTAATTACTGGCTAACAATATCTTCTCCCTTTCATCTTCATCCTTCCTTCCTCCTTCCTCCTCCCTCTCTTTATCATGTGTTGTGCGTGCGAGTATATGTGTGTGTGTGTGTGTGTCTGTCTGTCTGTGTGTTTGTGTGTGTGTGTGTGTCTGTCTGTCCCTGTCCCCCGTGTTCTACCTATGCTTCCTGTGTAGCTCTAATTACCACTTCTATCTTGTTTGTTGAAATTAAGTAGATTCGGCTTCCATTGAGTCACTATTTTCCTGATCTCTGTCTCCTAATCTCTACCTGGGATTACTGTTAGGTATTCCATGCCACCTCCTCCTTTTTCTTGGTGGTACTGAGGGTTACAATTTGAACCATGCCGCCAGCCTGGCCTACCTCTTTTCAAATAATTAATTTTGGTTTTCATTACTTCTCCTATTCCCTATTTATTTTCCCTAATACTTATTATTTCCTTCCTTCTGCTTGCTTTAGGTTTCTTTCTGTTGGTCATGGCGCTTGCACTCAGTGCCTGGTGCTGTCCTGACCTCTTTTACTCCAGGCTAGTTGTTCACCACTTAGAGCTACAGTGCTAGTTCTGGTTTTCTGTTGGTTCATTGGAGATAAGAGTCTCAGTTTGGACTTTCCTGACCAAGTTGGCTTTGAAAGGTGATCCTCAGATCTCAGCTTTCTGAATAGCTGGTATTACAGGTGTGGTCCACTGGCACCTGACTCCCTTTCTAGTTTCTTTTTTTTTTTTGGTCCGGTTGTAGGGCCTGAACTCTGGGCCTTGGCGCTGTCCCTCAGCTCTTCAGCTCAAGGCTAGCGCTCTACCACTTAAGCCACAGCGCCACTTCCGGCTTTTTTTTCTTTTTGCTTATGTGGTGCTGAGGAATCGAACCCAGGGCCTCATGCATGCAAGGCAAGCACTCTACCACTGAGCCAACTTCCCAGCCTCCCCTTTCTAGTTTCTTATGGTAGATGCTTAGGTTATAGATAGAGCTTTCTTTTGAAATATTTGTTTGCAGTTACAAAGTCTTTCAAACACTGCTTCAGCTGTGCCCCTGTTTTGTATCTCTGTATTTGTAGCTTCTGAACTGTAGATTCAACCAATCTCATATCAAAAATATTTGGGGGGAGGGGAGTGGAGGGTGTAGCTGAGGAAGTGGGAGGGAAGGGATGGTAGGGGAAAAACAAAGGAGGAGACAACAATGCTGGATAAGAAATGTACTCATTACCTTGCTCATGTAACTGTAACCCCTTTGTACAATATTTTCACAATAAAAAAATAAAAATATTTTGGGGAAAATATGCTGAGCATATATAGTTTTTCTTATCATTGTTACCTAAATAATACAGTAACAACTATTATTATCACACACACACACACACACATATGGTTAGGTATTGTAAATAGTGTAGAGATAATTTAAAGTGTATGTGGAAATGTACAAAAACTATATGCAAATACTGTGCTGTTTTATACAAGGGTCTTGAGCATTTTCAGATTCTTTTTTTTTTTTTTTT